GAGTTACAAACTGTGGCCAGGTGCAAACAATCAAAGTCAACTGGGAAGGTATTTACCTTACATGTCCTACAGCCATTTTTAATAAAACACAAAGCGCTTCTTTTTTTATGACAATAGTAAATGTCAGTCTTTAATATTTCAAGCAGCTTTTGCAATATCATCTTGAATCAATGGAGCTAGTGCCATGTTCTTATAACTGGTCTTAAACAAATCTATACTTTGAGACGTTATTGCCTGATTTAGTTTCTATCTAGTTTTCCTTCTTTCATCAGCATATTTTTTTTCTCTCATATGCACTCTTCTATGTAATAAATGCGAATGTCAGTGTATCACTGTGTCATGCTTTTTCAAATTTACTCCTAGTGATCATAGCCCAACATATCATACCATTTTGTAATCAGGCTGACTTCATAAGCAAATGAAAAATATTCTGGGCTGGATCCATATCCACAATCCTGAAATTTTGGATTCCCAAGTTTTCATTACTGCAATTGTTTTCTGATTCCACAATCTTGGTTTCTACTGATAAAAACAATTGAAGGGACACAACTCTCTAACTTTCAATAGCTCATGTTCAAATGAAAACAAAAATTACTGTTCTCAGATTAGTGTTTCAAAATAAAATTGTCCATGTTTTCAACTATACTCCTAGAGACCGACACCCAACATATACCTTCTTTAATTGTTTACATGTAAACATGCACATATCTACCAGACACCAATATGCAATATTTTGATATTGTATGTCCATCAAATTTAGCAAAAAACATGTGAAAAAAGAATTGCTGCTCAAATATACAATATTTAATAAATAACTTCATAACCTATATGTGTGTGTGTGTATGATTATGCTCTTTCCAGTATTGATGGGAGGTTCTTTTCTAACCTTTTATTTGAAGTAGTGGAGAATGTCAGCATCTTGATTAAGTCATTTTCTTCTTTCAGTTACAATATATCTTAGCTGTTACTGCTGTTAGTAGTCCTTAAGTGCTTGTGGTTTCTGTAATTCGATAGAGTTCTTTGTGATTCTGCAGCACCAGTTCACAAGGTTTTAAGAAGGATGGTATTTGACAGTATCCTAAGGCTACATACACTCAAAGGTCTTTTTTTTTAACTTTATGAAGTTGTTTTATGCCTGACATCCATATGAAAGTCTCAATCTGATGAGGTTATTTAAGAACATGACTCAAGTTTTCAGGTTGATGTTTTGGTTTTGTGGTAGTTTGGCATGTTGTGAAAAAAAACTGCCACTAGTGCAGTCTATTCTCTGTTCAATTTCTCTATCGCTTATCATAAATTTGTTATAACTGATATGTATACTAAGGTATTTAAAGTGTTTAATATTTAATAATTCCACATCCTGAAATTTTATGGAGGCTTCAGAGTAGGAGCTACCATTCCAATTCCAGACCATACTTTCTGTTTTGGAAAGATCATTCTTATCCCAAATATGAATACCTACGTCATCAGCATAGCCCCTTCACCATCAGTGCATTGTCCTTAGGAGGGAGGATTGGGATGTGATATGGAATACTTAAATGACCAATGCCCATCTCTTTACATTTGTTCTTGTAAATGTGTTGGGCAATATTTTTCTTTCATCATATAAGGGGTCACTGAAAAGTCCTCTGTAACCAACCCATATACCAAAAGGACCAGCCATAAGAGTTTTTAGTAGGTTTTCTTTGTTGAACCGATACATTTTGTAAACTCCTCATTTTCAGTGTTCATAAGACTAAGAACATTATACAGTGAAAATTTCAGCTCATAAGTATGTGTAAGGCTGCAAAACTATTGATACAGTCTTTTTATGTATGCCTGTAAGTATATTTTTATAGCTATGTAAACTTTTATAGTCACAAAGACCTGTACATTAAAATATTGATTTTTATCAGTGTCAATGCATATTAACATATGAATATATAAACATTATACCAAGTCTGATAGCAAAATTCTCCAAATCATGTAACAGCATGTGATAATTGTCTGTCCCACAAAATGTTTAATATCTAAAAACCACTAAACTAATTGAATTTATTTTTTCTAGATTTTTAGATGTTTAGCCATTTTGAGACTATTTGTTGTAAGAATCACTTAAAAGTCTCTTGGATTGTGCACATGTATAGTCATGGCAACATCAACAAAGCTCAGTTTAATGAAATCCTAATGGATGAAAATGGTCCCAGAAGCATGCTGGCCTTGTTCAAATTGTTGATCATGCTAGATAACACATTCTTTCCCAGAAACTGTAACTAAGGTCTGCTCACCATAGTTGTAGTATAAATTACATGTAGATGGGTATCCTCGAATACAAGTGGCCATATATATATATATATAAATAAAATCAAACATAATATTTTATAGAATTTCTTTTTTTCTATATTTCAGATCATTCTTTTGCTTTATGGTTTGAAAATATGAAGAAAAATCCTTCAAAAAGAACTTTCCTTGGTTTTTAACCTAGCTTGTATAAATGAAAAACGCAAACCCACCTCATTATATTATCTTTTCAATATACATGAAATATAAAAATATAGCAAGGGCCTTAAAAGTCACCTTGAGAAAGGATGAAAACTGATCCATGAAAGTCACTGACATTTTTTGATGAGCCAATAAAAGCTCAAAGAATCTGATCTTTAAAGTACTTGAAATGTTCCACTGATTCCAATAACTACTTTCTTTCCAAAGATTTGGCAAATAGATGAATTTTTTTGATGATTAGCACCAACTGCCAAATTTAATCATCATCGTATAAGAACAATCATCATCACCACTACCACTTGAAATCTACTTATTTTTGCCCTTTTTTGCAAGTAAAAAAAAAAAAAAAAATCTAAAGAGAAAGTTCCAGTCAGATTTTTCTGAAGAACTGATACTTTATGGAACGTGCTCTCACATAGATACTTCCATATATAGTAGAATCATTACCTTTCCAAGTCAAGTGTAAATTTTTATTTATCCCTATAATCTTCACTTGTATTGGGGTAACTTAAGATTCTTACAAGCAGTCATTTATCACTACTTCATATGGGCTTCCAGCTATATGTTGAAATGGGATTACCAGATGCTGCAAGCTTGGATGTGAGAATGGTATAATATATAATGGCTTGGAATTAAAAATCGGAAAGCTGTTTTCCAAATCCAGTCAGATTTATTAAATTCATTTAGGTGCAAATATCCTTGGGAAAGGTATGAATCTTCTCCCTACAACTATGGGTCAATTAGCAAGACTCTTATCACAAAACTATTATTATCTCAAAAATATTCTTACAATTTAAAATCTTTCTGGCTTTAAATAACCTGCAAAGGGTTGATAAGCTGTAAAAAATAATGATTCTCCTAAATCCTGTTCTGCCAACCATTTATACAAACTTGTTAGATAGATAGGTTTATGCACTGTTGAAATACTGGTTTTCATTCAATGACCACTAGTCAGCATCCAGATAGGTGACCACTTTGGTATACCAAGTTCTGTAAACTTGGATGTGTGGATGGTATAATGGATAATGGTTTGGAATTGTTAAAGGATGAAAACTGATTCATGAAAATCACCGACATTTTTTGATGAGCCAATAAAATCTCAAAGAATCTGATCTTTAAATACTTGAAATGTTCCACTGATTCCAACAATTACTTTCTTTCCAAAAATTTGGCAAATAGATGAAATATCAATTCCCATATGATTACCACAGGTCAGTACTTAGGTGGGTGACTACTTTGGAATACCCAGTACTATAAGCTTGGATGTGCAGATGCTGTAATGGGTAATGGCTTAGAATTGTTGATCAGAGTGCTGAGTTCCAATTCCTGTCAGGTTCATTATATTCACTTATATGCAGATACACTTGGGAAAGGTATGAATCCACCTCTTCTCTCCCTAGCTATGTGTTAATAGTTTGATGGGCCTTACTAATTATGTAAAAAAAAAAAAAAGTTCTTACAGTCTAAAATAATCTGCAACCGGTTGATAAGCCCTAAAAAATAAATGAATCAGTCAAATTACTTGCATTTATGCTTTTCAGACTTCAGAACTAAAGACTATATTTCCAACAAAAGAAGCCCGATATGTATTTTTCTTTCCAATTTCCGTAATCTCCAAATAAAGAAAGAAAACTCTCCAGAATCAATCTGACATATCTATATGTTATATTCCATGCTAATAGGAATATATACTTAACAAACACAGTGGATAAAATAAGTAAAGGTTTATTATAAAAGGAATAAAAGGTACAGCTATGCAAAAGGTCGTCGCAAGTCAATCCAGTAGTAAGTGCTACTATTGGAAGGTCGGTAGTTCTTGTGTAAGTCTGAGTCATATTCAACAGACCCCAGCTAGACTCTTGTCTGTTGACTTACAGATACTTATAGGTAATTACTACCTACAGTGTAGTCACTCATAGGGGTTACAGATTATTCCATTACATCTCTATAATAAGTCTGCCATTTGCCCATGCTTAGAATATTGTTGCTACATATGGTCCAGTACCCCTGCTATTTACCTTGAACTCCTTGATAAAATCCAAAAAAGAAACAGCAATATTAGTGGTCCCAATCTGGCTGCTCGGCTTCAGTTACTTTCTCACCGCTGTAAGGCTACCTCCATGGTAATTGTTTGGATGAGCTCTTCACCATGGTACCTAGACTTTTTGAATTGTGCAGTACTAGCCTAGCATCAAGATCTCATCAATTTACAGTCGAGCTGAATAGATGTAGCCATAAGATCTATACTAACAGTTTCTTTTCTTGCACTTCTTGCTAGTGGAACTCCTTTCTGGCTCCATGCTCTCTAGACAACTTTAATCTGCAAAAATTTAAATGCACTATCCTTCTGATTACCCTTTCCACTCATTATTAATGTTTCTGTTCCTAATTCTTCCATACCATGTAACCCCTTGTGTCTCAGTGGCTTTACTGCTTTGCATGGGGTGATACCATATTAAAAAAAAAAAAAAAAACGCATAAAATTCATTGCACACTGGTATTTTTTCTTTTCTTTTCAGATGTTACATGCAAAGATCAGCGAAATAATGAATATGTACCTGATGTCTGTTTGGAACGAATAGGCCCTATGCCTGCTGTAGCAGAACCGTGTTTTGTCCCATGTCTTGAAAAATGCTTTTTAACAGAATGGGGACCCTTTAGCCCCTGTATTGAAGGTTGCAATGGATATAGGTTTAGAAATCGGGAACTAACAGGTAAGTTTGTTTTTCTTTTTAATATTATTTTTTTTTCCTTATTGACATTTTAAATGCTTAGGATTTTGAAATAAATGTATGTAAATCAATCAGTCAGTTATGTGCCATGTGTGATGCACACTTAGGCAATCATGTATCTTTCAATACATGACTGACAAAGCAGATTTTTATCCCCCCCCACAATAGGTTGCCATTTCTTTCTGTGGTAAACCAATTGCCATCCAAGGCTATAGAACTCAGTCTGTCCTGCTATTTAGCCATAGCTGTGTGGGAGAAAAGGAGGATTCATACCTTTCCCAAGGGTATTAGCACATAAGTGAATGTAATGGATTTGACTGGAATTCGAACTCAGCTCTCCGATTCCTCAATCCTAGCTTTTATCCATTACTCAAGCATGCCTCCTGTAAATCAATATGGATATTAATATTTACTCAAATATGGTAAAAAATACATCCCAAAGTATCTAATTTGGTACTAATTTATTTTGGGTGAAATGGATATTTGTCTACTCGCTGAAATGAATCAAAGATGCTAAATTTATTTGAGATTTTACTGTGAGTTGATTAGATTGGTTGATTTTCTGATATGTCAACTCTTGTTAGATATTTAATGTTGAATTTTATATAGTGCACTCAGTGAGAATCAAACTTATTACCCAGTAATAATGGTGAACCAGAAAAATCATGCTGACCATTGCTCTATGCCAAAGCACATGAAATCTATATTTTCCTTAGTTCTGCTTATTTCTTGAAGAAAAAATTTTAGTTTTGGAAATAACAGGGAAGGTTGTTTGATTTTGCAATATGTTCTCCCTTGATGGGTTATTTAATGCTGAACTTTGTATAGTGCATATAGTAAGGACTAAACTCAGCAATAATGGTCAACCAAACCTTCTACTGATTGGACACCTTTTAAAATTTATGTGATGTATAAAGCTGCTATGTTCGTCAAAACACTTTTGCAAAATTCAAAGAGGAACTGTAATGTAGCTTCTCTGTTGTGGAATATTTAACCCCCCACCAAATTGCGTTGTGGCTTGATGAACAATGTGTAACAATTGAATATTTTAAAAACTGTACTTTATATATGAATATGCATTACATAATGAGAAAAGAATAGAGGATGGCTAAAAACGTGTTCTTTTAGCAGTTAAAAGTCATTACGTGGTAGACAACATCCAAATACATGTCTGTTTTAAATAAATTAAATACTTGCTTGAATGGTGTCCATACTTTGCTTGTCCTTGTATTATTCAGATTTGCCTGTGGCCAGCATCGCCTCTTCTGAGAGAAGGTTGTAAAACCTGCCTCTCATTCATAGCCACCTCGGCACCTAAAATCTGTTTTGTGCCTAATTTGGGATTATACCCATTATTATCAGATGAAATGGGTCTAACCTATTATCAGCAGGAGTTATTTACCAAAGGGAGATAACCTATTATTTTTTATACTGTGCCTTTTCCATAAATACTTTCATGGCAATTGTTCTGATGAATTTTCCTCTGTGGTATCTAGACATTAAGAAGTTAAGTGCAGTACTAGATTGGCCGTAAGGTCTCATCATCTTACACTTGAAATGGCTAGGTGTAACTAAGTTCTATGCTAAGAGTTTTTTTATAATACTTCTCACTTGTGGAAAACTCTTCTTGCTTCCCAGTCAAGTTTGGGCTTTGGAAACTTAGATGTAATCTCAGTCATTATCTTCTGTGTTAATTCTTGTTCTTTTATTGTTTTCTCTCCTTAATAGTATTTTTCTTTATTTCATATATTCTCTCTCTGGAATGTCTTGTGGATTTATTGTCCTGCTTGTGGTTAAATGATTAAGAAAAAAAGGAAGAAAAAAAGTTCATCCTGGACCTCAAGTGAATTCATTTATAATCCATTGCTAAATATGCTGAAAAATTATTATCAGATGAAATGGGTCAGCAGGAGTTATTTACCAAAGGGAGATAACCTATAATTTTTACATTGCTCCCTACAAACAGAAAAACATGCAATCCATGTTGCCAGTTCATGACATTGTAATACAGTTCTTTTTTTTTTATAAACAATAAGCATTTCAATAATCATTTTTTTTATTTATACAATACTTGTTATATAAACATAAATCAACTCTTTATTCATACAACAAAAATAATAAGAAAGAGAAATTGATAGCCTTTATAGTGCAAACATGATAGTTCTGATTACTTGACCATTAACTTTTTAGAACTATTCAATACTAACTTAAAAGCTGCCCTATTGAGCAGTATTTAAGATAACTCCTGCCAAGGTCTCTTGATTGAACCTTTGGTTTGTTCATGAGTTTGTGAGTCTAAGTCTTTGCATATTCCCAGCAATGGAATCTTTCCTGGCTGCCATTTGATCTGGGTTTTCATTTACATGGGGACTTTCTTTTTTTCATTTGCAGGGGATTCCCCCCCCCCCCCGCCTCGCTGCAGCCTTGGCTCTCTTGATTGCAATCTGGTCCTCTGTTGGCAGAGATTTCAGTTCATGAGACATGCTGCTGCCATAAACAAACTACAGAAGAACTCAAAATTGATCGCTGCATTGAAATATTGCATTAATATTTAAGCTTACCTTTTAAAAGTTCCACGATAATTCTTCTGCCTTTTAAAGACAATTTGATGTATGCAGGTTCTTGCATTCTAAACAAACAATTATTTTTATTTTATGGGTGACTTTTGCAATTAATTTCAATTATTCGCAAATTTATTTCCAAGTTTTAAAAATTTTTATCATGCAAAAATCACCAAAACCAATCGCAGTAATGAAAACTTGGGAATCCAAAATTTCATGATTATGTGTCTGAATCCAATCTGGAATGTTTTTAATTTGCTCACAAAGTCGGACGGATTCCATAATGGTATGATATGTTAGGCTACAACCTTTAGGAGTAAAGTTGAAAAATGTGACACACTGCACTCACATTTATTTATATAGAAGAATAACTTTACTGGATGTGAAATATGATAGGCCTCGACATACCTCTATCAGTGAATGCATGTATAGTGTCCTCCTTTTTATTAGATACTTGTAAATTTGTTCATTCAATTTGAATTATGCCCCTTTTAGTGACTTATGTTCATCATGTCTTGTTTTCGCACATCAGCATGTTGAGAACGCCTCTCTTCACTGAGGAAAAAAAACTGGTGTTATATAGATCTTCCAGTCTCAGACCCACACTGATTATTGGCCAATACCTGCCCGGGGTTGTTCATATGCAAATAGAGTAGATAGTGCTGACAAGTAGATCTTCTCACAACAGCCCATTGTGGAAAAGGATGCAACTCCTGGTGCTTACAGCTCCACATGCAACCAACTCAAAGTCTTATCAGGCTGATCTGATTCTCTGTTATATGATGAGGTATAGATGCTTAACTTATGTTACTGTTGTAGCATACCTCTGGATGAAAATAGATATGTCCCCATTCACATAAATACAGTAGTAAATACTGTATGTTGGTCTGCAGTTGTAGATTCATTGTGGAATTCACTTGACTCACTTCTAGCAGTTGACTACTTCTATGTGCAGCTGGCAAATCTTATATGTGTTGTTCATATCCTAAGTATTATCATTCATTAACAACTTTCATTTGATTATTCTATGCAATAACCTTTCCTAGGTTACAAGAGGATTTGAAATGAAAGAGATGCGATTCTACTGAAACATTCACATTCCCTTCATATTCCATTTGTAAGGAGTAAGTTTCACCCAGACAGCTTCTTCCCAAGAACTGCTGCTTTGTGGAATAGGCTCCTGGCAGAATATTTTCTTTTACATTATGTTGTAGCATAGCTATGGATGATAATGGTTATATCCCCATTCACATAATTATAGTAGTAAATACTGTATGTTGGTCTGCAGTTGAAGATTCATTGTGGAATTCACTTGACTCACTTCTAGCAGTTGATGACTTCTACTTGCTGCTAGCAAATCTTATATGTGTTGTTCTTGTCCTAAGTATTATTGTTAGTTAGCAGCCTTCATTTGATTATTCTATTCAGTAACCTTCCCTATATTACAAAAGTCACATTTATTGTTTAATAAACTTTTATTTTCTACCCTTATTAAGGTATTTCAAATAGTTATATGTTGTGTAGTCTAATTGTGTTGTCCTGATTTATGCTTTTATGAGTGTGCATGATTAAAAAAGGATACTTGTGCTTACTTCTCTTGAACCATATAATCTTCCTATAGTAGCCTGTCATCATGAGGGAGATGAAATCTTCAAGGGTAGTTGAAGTGCACTTTAGTTGGTACTTCTTTTGAGAAGTGTTTTCTTCAACCAGCATTATTATTTATGATATGCCCTGTTGATGTTCATATTGGTAAATTTCAGCTGTAATGATAAATACAGTATGGTGAAAAAATTCTACTGCATTGAATTTTCCAGTGGATTGCATGTAAACAGGTTTAATGTCATATCAAGGACAATTCTAACAGGTAATACCACTCTGGATCAGAATGGACTTGGGAGTAATAACAATCAAGGGGTGACTTCACACTCCACAAGCAGAGCTTCATCACTGGATTTAGTTTAAAGTCAACCAGGACAGGATTGGTTTATGAATGGATACAGCTTAAAGTCTTATCCAGAACAAGACTTGTCGGATAAATTCAGATAGAACCTCCAACTCGAAAGTTAGGATGAACAGGAAACACTGTCATTGACAATCTTGCATTATTTCAAGTGATCCTTTTTATTTTGTGAATGTGTAGTATTTTATATTTAAGACTTGTGTTCTGAAGTAAATTGTTTTCTTATGTGCCTATTAGCACTTGTTTTAAATCTTGTATACATTCAAGCTGCATGTGTATGTTAGTACTTGTGTTGAATCTTTATTCACCTATAATTATCATTATCACTACCATAGGTCTATTTTAATGTCTTGATCATAGACAAGATTGGTCAGGATGTGGCTGTAATTCAGTCATACTTTGGATGAAGTAGGGTAGTATTGGAATGACCAATAAGTGGTCAGAGAGTGACCAAGAAA